TCTCCTAGTTTTCTCTCTCGGTCCAACTTCGGCTGCTAGGTAAGTTCTGTCCAACTTCCATAAAGAAAGTGTGTTAGGATCATCTGATATGAATGTTTAGGGGTAATTGGTAGTAAGTTCTATTAGGTATAGTAGGACGTCTGCGGAAAGGTTCGTCAGGTTGCAGTACAATGCGTTGAGGCGCTGCTTGTGCTTAATGCGCTTAATCTTCATAGTTTCACTTCCCACTTCCTAACAAAACTCAATCTTAACTTTCAGCGCGATCAATCGTGAATTTTATCGTGGGTGACTGCGTTATGCTCCGCGTGTTTGCTCTTTTACCTACCATAATCTCCCTTCCTCCTCACTTCCTCTAACCCTTCACGGATCAGCCGAAAAAATACTCCACATTAATGCGTTGAAACGTGGAATAAGTGTTAGGTTCATGAACAATTAAGTAAAATCACTACGCAAAGGTCAGGGAAGCCGAATCTCTTTTTGACTCCTAGAGCAGCTTCTTTTGGAATGTATGTCACAAGATTAAAAGGTTATAGCCTATCTTTCGTTTGATTACGAAGGCATTTTTTTGAATTCAGAGCGCCTGCTGCTACTAGTTTTTTTTAAACAGAGGATTTAGAAGACAAGGACTGGAAGCAGCAGGAGGGTTGTCTGCGTTGAGCATATTGCGAATTAGACAATCTCTGCAAGAAAGTAGTCAGAGAAATATAGGAACTAACTTTGTAATTTCTTACATCATTGCTTTGGACGATCCATGTCAAAGTCTCCATTCCCTTCCCCTGCCAACCAGTACCATTTGAAACAGACATCTACATGAGATCGACTGATCTTTACACCACGATGGTATATCCTCATCGCTCCATCAAGGAAAGCAAAGTTTGATGTTATTTATTGTTTTGTTTGGACTGACTTTGAATTTGAGTGGATCATCAAGGACAATGATGTAAGACCTTTTACAAAATATTTATTTGTTTGTGGCATATGGCAAACGCGCCGCGTTGCAGCGTAAGCGTATGCGTTCGGTACGCCAGTGGTGCTACATATTGGCCGATCCCAATTGAAACGCACTGCTTTTGTTTCCACACTTTACCGTACATAACATGCTCCCACTATTTCTTCCTTTGCCCCTTCTTCCATTTCTTTAATGGTCGTAAATTTACAGAAATCAATGCCTCCATTTGCTGCTGCGGTAAAGAAAAATCCCTATAGAAAAGAGATCGACAAAAAATCGGTAAGTCATTGCCATCACATCTAATATATGCAGGATTCATTAAAATATTCTGAAAGAGGATATCTCGTCTATCTATGACGCTATGTTAGAAGAAACGCTCGTAAACTTTCTTTGTCTCTGCAGTGAATGTAAAGCTGTTGTCTCCCATAGACGTAAGATGCGTTTGATATGTTTCATCTCAATGAAGAAATTTTAGTAGTATGGTCTCTTCTTGACGTATGGATACAGCGGTAGTTAACATCAAAATCTTTGTTTTCTCGAAACTAATGAAAGCGCAGCTGCGGGCTTTAACGGATCGGCTCTGATCTTATGAGTGAGCCACCTTTCGAACATCCGTTGTGGTCTTTTTATTGATTTTACCTTGTGAGCGTTTAACACGCCTCACAATTACGGCTATCATCTCTTAAAGTATCTCATGGTGAGAAAGTGCTATTGCGAAGTCAGACACAATGTTGTTATACGTATTTTTCTTGTATTACTCTAAGCGGACTTGAGGAAAATTTGCGGCGACCGGCAGGGCGCGGGAGGGGGTCCGACCATACTCAGTTTGCCAAACAACACATTTGTATCAGACGCAGCCGCTCATGCCGCAAGGCTTTCAACCGCTTCGCTACTGATCGCGATGCGTTCGCTCGACCCGTTCAAGGGATAACTGGGTTCCGAGAATAATGTTTACAAACTTGCTAGCGCTACTCAACAGCTCATGGATTGTCCCGTGCAACATTCTTTTGAAACAAATACGGTCAGACAGGTTAACAACTTTGATGCGAGAAGAATCAGTGACACAGCTGGCAAAAATACAGACAAATTGCTGTCGCCGGCTAAGGTCTTCAGTCGGAAGAGCTCTGTTGCTATACATATCCAGAAAACACTTCCTCTGTCTCATAACAATCTCCTCTGTCATGCAAGAAACGCAACCCTGAATGCAACCAACTCCTTATAAACCTTTGCAATGGGGAAAACGTCTTCTACTTTGATTGAGGAGTAAAAGACGACAAATGTTTTAAATTGCCCGCATTTTCACACACTTCCACTCTTTCTTTATCGCTTTTTGCCCTTAAATGAGTCTAACGAATGTCATTTTCCAATTTCGCATTATTGTAATCCTATTTATTAGTTCGAGCGGATATGTATGTTCAGAGATTTCAGTGGGCAGCCACGTTCCCCGAAGATGTGGAAGGCCTATCTGAGTCCACCGTATTTATAACAAGATGCATGTACATTACTTTTAGTCACATTCTTTCTTGTAGACGACTTATGCCATCCAACGTATTTAAGAAAAGAACCATTGATGGTGAGTCTTCTATACAGTATATTTGGAGGAAGCTTATAATTTGTACAGTATGAATTAAACTATCACAGGTGATCTTCGTGCTTATGTAATGGATACATCTGAACTGTTGGGAGCGAGATTTGTGCAAAAGTTCAAAGGCATTAATAGTGCTGTAGAGAAGGGGTATCTTCATGAGCTGATGCTCGTAGTAACTCCAACTGAAGAGGACGATAAGGATGCAATTGAGATGTACACTTGGAGAATGCGTTACGACATCGACGGTGATCCTCAGGCAGAGCTAAGAATGTAGCAATCCTTTTCCTCTCTCGTTATCGCACCTCATAAAGTTTTGTTAAGGGGCGATGGCACGGTGATGGCAGCACTTCGCTTTCAAGGAATGCAACATTTAAAGAAACAAGTTACTGAGCTTTTGCTCATGTTGAGGGCGTTATGCAGGGAATTGCTCAGTCCATTGCCGCCAACAGCTTCGTCTGCTTTGCGAATCACCTATACAGACAGTTAGTTTGCCAACTGACGCTACACTACAGTCGGATATAATCAATATGTCATAAAAGACAGCCTATCCGAGGCGGAATATCGTAAATTCACGTTTTCCAATTATGCAGATCTACTAATTGCTGTTGCTGACGTAACTAGGCTCTTTAGTATTTAAGATTGAAGTTGTGTGCTTCTATTCAGAGCCCAAAAAATTACAGGCTACAATGTATTATTATATGTGGTCGTAACAAATCTTGCATTTTTTGAGGAACCCCCAAAGGATACCAGGCTCCGGGCTTCTACCGTTCTCCAGAAGATCCAATTTTGAGGCCAGACGCGCAGGAGATTGAAGTTGTTGCGTTTCAAACGAAGCATCATGGGTTGGCTTGTTTGTTGCTTAGTATTCTTCAAATCATCTTTGCGTACCAGTAGTTTAAAAATCACACTAGCTTAGGCTTCTGAATGTGTTAGTATTATTTTAGGGCGTCTGTGGCTGTAAAAAGTATATTCATTGATGATGCCTATGCAGTCGGACTGAGACTAAAGGAGACCATGAAACTTGATGGATTGGATGATTCTCTAAATCAGTCATTCGGAGAAGAACAGGGAGCCGGTGACGAAGTTCAGGCTCCTTCTGACGAAACGCTGGAGCGCATTAGTGGGCCTCTCGAGGGACAGGTAAATGGTTCTTAAACTTGTCTTACTTTTTCAGTGTAGAGAGTTTAAAAGAAACATGTAATTGATGTAAAATTTCATATTGAGATATTTGATTACGTAACTTATCAGAGCGATACGGTGGAAGTGCCGCGTGGGGAACAAACTACAGACGAAAGAGAAGTTCAGGACACTTCCACAATGAGTACAAGTAAGTTGTCCTTGTTCTATTATTCATGCGAAATGGCAGCTTCACTTTTTCGTCACAGCAAGTCTAAATAATAGGTACAATGGGCGCGCGTGGATCTTCGATAAATACAGTATTGTCAGAGAGCATCAGATCGGAAGAACCACGTCCAAGACGTGGAAGACGTGGCCACCCAGCTGCCGCAAAAATTAAACCGGGCCAACCTATCGAAGAGCGAGCTAAGAGCCCAGTAGTTGTATCTGTATGTGTGCATTTGCCTTTCGATTCTCAATAAGATGTATTATAATCTGATATTTAGG